TTCTACAAAAATACTTTTATTTATCTTATTTATTAATTATATTTATTAATAATACTTATTAATTATATTTACTTATTATATTTACTAATTATATTTATTAATTATATTTATTAATCATATTTACTAATTATATTTATTAATTATATTTACTAATCACATTTATTAATCGTCGGTTTCTTGTGTAACGATACGCTAAGTCTTGTGACGATACGCTAAGTCTCTTGGACGCACTTCATATGCGCCAAGCTACTTCCTTTTTTTTTCTTTCGCATTTTTCGTATTCTCTTATTCCCCGCTTTTGATTTATGAACTATGGTTCACGAGTCCTTGGCGCTTTTACTTTCGTGTATATAGACCTCAGCTACTTTCGACCTTTATACTTAATAGTTGTTGATTCTAAGTCATTATTTTAAGATTCTTTTGAGCTCTTATATGAACTTCGCGCTTTCGTGAGTTCCTTTAAGTAATCGCTTAAAGTCGTTATAAGTCTCTTAGACGCACTTTACATGCGCTAAGCTACTTCTTTTATTTTTTCTTTTGTATTCTTCGTATTCTTTTATTCTTCGCTTTTGACTTATGAACCATGGTTCACGAGTCCTTAGCGCTTTTACCTTTGTATATATAGACTTCAGCTACCTTCGACTTTTACACTCGGTAATTGTTGATTTTAAATCATTACTTTAAGATTCTCTTGAGCTTTTATATGAACCCTCGCGCTCTCGTAAGTTCTTTTAAGTAATCGCTTAAAGTCGTCACATCTTGAAGTTTTGAATAAAAAGAATTGACCGACTTGCTGTATTTAAAATCGATATAAATATATTAATAAATTATTTTAATATTTAGATTTATGAATTATATTTAAAGTTAATCATATATATATTTTATTTAATATAATAACGATTTTAAAACTATCTACATAAACTCATCTATTAATTTATAATAATGAAATTCAAGAAGCTTTCGCAAGCTATCGAATTTATTACCTTCCTTTCTTGCGATACCTCCCTTTTGTATATAAAAAGTCTTTTGCCCGCTAACAATACCAATTCCATGATATCCGTCGTTATGTTCGTTTTTACTGATCCATTCAACAGATAGCTTAATTTTATAGCCGTTATTTAAAAACCGCCTAACTCGATATTCGTCCATTCTAACTAACCAGCCACGATTACGCGGTGTGCTTGCGGCAAACGCAAGTCCCCTTTGCATATAGCCTTCTGCCGATTCACGCAACGACGCTTCTTTTCTTGGCCTCACAAGACCCGACCGCGGACCCCTCCGAGCACGATCCCGGAAGCCTACGACTTCTTCAAGGGTCTCCTCAACAATCCGGCCGATTTTCAGGCCTTCTTGACCACCACGGAGTTCTACTCCAAGCACTGCACTCGATAGGGGTGCTACTTTGGCCAACTGATACTGCTTCGGTAAGGAGAACGGGGTACGCTCCGCCTTACTCAAGCTGTAAAGGCTCGTCAGATCAACCGCGTCACGGGACTAAGACTTTGAGATAGCGTGGTGCGCTCCCGAGGGAATTCTTTCTGGCACTGGTGTATTATATTGGGTTTTCTTTTGGAGTTTGGGCTTTCGTATTCACCTTTTCTTTTGTACTCGGCTGACCCCGGTCCGGCCTTGATTCCTGTCGCTACGCGACGTGAACAGCTCGCCTTTGGCTAGCTACAGCAGTTTGTACATGCTTGACTCTCTCTTTTGTGGTTTTCCTTTAATGAAAGGTTTCTTTCTATGTGATCCATCTTATTTGTAGGGGAAGGGCGCATGCGACAGTAGCCTTCGCTACAACACTTTGAATTGCTTTTTGGGGCCTTCTTGTATGTAACTCCTTAGCTTAGCACGTCGCCGTACCCCATGGGAGGTCCCAGGGCGGCAGGCTTCGCCTGCTACCCGCCCGACGTAAATAAATACAACAACAACAACAACAACAATAACAGCCACGATTACGCCCTTCTTCGTCTAGCATTTCTACTGCATACCGAGCGTTTCGACCGTTCGTTCGTCCAATAGAAAAGGAATAATAAGTTTCATTATCTACTTCGGTAAAGATCGAGTTTAGTTGGTTTGCAATCCTTAATAAATTAATAACTTGATTAATATATAGATAATAAAACGGCACTTATAAATAAATCGGCAAGCGTCCGTTAAAATATGAATTTCTTTTATCTATTCTTTAGCTATAATAGATATTCGAGCTTGTAGATATAATTATAAGCTAATACGATTATAAAGTGTTTTATCGTTTTATATAATAAATTTTTAATTAAATGCTTTTATTTTTAATATTTATCAGATTATATTAATTTTATTTACCGCATAGCAGCAGCCGAAAAGAAAGCTGCAAAGATTATATTTAAATTAAGATTTCTATAAGCACCTTATCCTTATATACTAATTAAACCTTAATAAATTTAAGTAAGTACTTGTTATAACGACCTTGAGCGATTATTTAAAGAATTTATAAAAAAGCGAAAGGATCATATAAAGCTTAAAAAGATTATAAAATCATTATTTGAATTTGAAATTAATAATTATCGAAAGTAAAAGTTGAAAAAAACTGAGTGTTAGATTCCTTTTAAGCGATTAAAGAATATATTCGTAACTTCGTAACGGTCGTCAAAGTACTTGCAATTGCAAAACACTCGGTTGTAAAAATATCTGAATTCTAATTGCTCTTTAAAATTCAAAGGAGCTGATTCCTTCTATATGATTAAAAGGAATCACGCGCACTAGCTAACTAATAAGTTTACTAGTTAAGTTAAAGGTCCCTTGACTGGTGTGATATGCTGAGCGAGGCATATTAAATGGCCCGTAAACTCCCTTAAATACTACTAGCTAGCTAAGGTCGATATAAATATACCGACATTAAGGTCTATATATAAGAAGGTTGTTCGTAATAGTCAACCTAAGTAAAAAGAGCTTAAAAGTGTTAAAAGATATAATTATAATTAAGCTTTAATAAAAAGGAAATAAAAAGAAATGAAAAGATAAAAAAAAAACCGCTAGTTAAAACTTAACGCTCGCAAGAATGCTGCTTAAAAAGAATTAAGCGTAAGCAAAACCCTTTTTAAAAATAAACTAACTTAATAAAATATATTTAAATCATAAAATGATATTATACAATATTCAAATATATAAGACGTTGATATATAAGTTTAAATCAATAGTTTAATAGCAAATTCGCTAGAATCTAAACATGTCTTTTCAAGCTACTGATTCGTTTTCATCTCAAATTACTTCAACTACTTACGAAGATACCGATCCATTTTAAAGTCAAGAGTTCGAAAGCTCTACAACTAATTTCTCTGGCCTAGTACTATTAGCAACTATTAAATGTTCTAATCAATATTATATTTGGAACGTTAAAGAGATTGAGACTTTTAATACTTGGTAGTCATAGACTTTATAATATTCTTAACAATAAGAAGCTAATCAAAATCTTTTACGAATCGATTAAAATAGAAAGAAAACTTCTTTTGTATGGATTGGATTCGTTTAAACAGCTAAGAAATCAACAAAAGAGCTTATAGTATGCTATAAAAAGTGCGACCGAGCTTTAAAGCATCCGAAGCTAAAGGCTTCTAGAACGAAAGCATTAGCCGATCATTAGAAAACGGATGTTTGCAAACGCGTCGTAAGTAAGCTAAAACAAAAGCTTCGGCAAACTCAATTAAGATCTAAATCTCTTTAACGCAATTTGGTACGTTTGTTTTTATTTATAAATTCGGTTAATAAATCTAATAAATCTGATTAGTAAATCTGATTAGTAAATCGGATTAGTAAATCTAATTAGTAAATCTAATTAATAAATCTGATTAGTAAATCGGATTAATAAATCTGATCAATAAATAATAAAACTAATATCTAATAAACACATCTATCACAAGGAACGCTTTCGCATCAAGACTTAAAATCAGCATTTCGAAAAGGTGTTTTAAATATTATATTATCTA